TTGGGTTGTAGGTTATTTTAATTGGTGTTTACAATTTAATGTCAGTTTGCTTTGTCAAAGTCCACTCCTCCTTGGCACGACTAAGACTTGAAAAAGTAATTCATATATTTTGTTGTAAATTTAAAAGTAATGTGTTACTTTACTGATTACTGATTACATGTAATGAGTTAACCCCCAATCTGCATATAGTGAATCAATTTTAAGCTTAATTAAAAACCTGTGAATCCACTCCTAGGCACAACTGATTCAGAACCATATTGATTTCAGAGATTCCTGTTCAAAAAATGATTTCAAATGGCCTCTTTTTCTATAAGTGGATGTAGGCAATGAAAAAGATGCATGATGGGAATTTTTAAGCACTTGTGAGTTAAATGATGCCCACTTCCCAATTTCGACCGCACTTTCAATCTCATTGATGTTTGTTTGTGCTGTAATTGTCCTGAAATGTTAAGCAATAGGTTCATTTTGCAGTCTTGAAACGTTCATTGATTTTACAGTTTTGCCTCTTGTTGCTCGTAAAATGTTTCTATGCGTTTTACTCGAGGGCTGTTGTTATTACAGATTCCAGTCTGATGTATTTCATCATTTCATTGTGTTACACTAGACATTATTATTCTACATATTGGAGGAAGTTGCTTTGTTGATGCAACAGAGCTGCTGTGAAGGTTTGCATGTGTGTGCAGTATGTTTATTTCAGGCTCTCGTTCTCAGAAGAGTAGAAGTTTTCTTTAAAAGTAATGCATTTTAATTAGTGCAGTAAAGTCAATTAACCCTTGTGCATCCTTATGGACATTTTTGTCCTTTTCAGTTTTGTTTTTTGGATCACTTTGCCTGTGTTCAAGCTAACTGCAAAAAACTTGGCACAGGTGTGTATTTTTATTGGAATTTTACTATTTCACCGTCATTTTCTTAAAAAAATATTTTTTGCATTTGGTACAAAAAGTACTCCCTCTCAGCGCCTTTTGGACAAAAATGTCCCCATTGAAACCCATTAAAACTGCCATTTTTAATCCCTGGTTCAGTTAACTATAAAATTATGCAATGTTTGTTAAGAGGCTTTCATTCTGATGGCAAGGCTTCAAAATTTTATTTTTTACTATTTTTTTACCAGATGGTGCCATTTTTTTTAAGTTTGCCCCATAAAACAAATATCGCTTTATTCCTGTTTTCTGCTTCGGCATACTATAGAGCCAACTGGATAAATTATGCAACGATATTTGTGTGGGTGTGTTGGTATGGATGTCAGAGTGTGGTTAGTATGTGTGTTATGAAAAAAATATGTGTGTGAGCGTGCATGTGTGTGTTTGTAATACTGAGAAAGAAAAACTGCAAATTCAAATCCAATCACTGTGAGCACCAGTGGGGTTTTGCTGGCACCCAATGGGGAAAATATGTTACTACGCCCAAACAAACTGTTACCGAAAGCTCATTTTTTGAGATATCATCCTCAAATTTGAAAAACAGCCTATTTAGATTTATTTGGTTTTATTGCAGTTTTGAGTTCAACCTTATTTATAAAATATATATTTTATATAAAATATTTTTTATAAATAATTTTCATAAACTTATACCTATATAACTTTTTGTTTTATTTACTTACGATTATTTTTTTACTTCAGCAATAATCTGCAAAGGGTCTTCTTCAAAATGATACCAAACTTAAGTCTGTGCTCCAAAGCGTCACATTTTTATTACAGTTTTTTGACATGGACATTTTTGTCCTCTTTTTACCTAAGTGTAACTTTTTTTAATTGATGCACAAGGGTTAATCACATTGAACATCAGTTTGTGTTTATACAATATATTTGTGTATATATATATTATATTATATACTGTACTGTGTGTATATGAAGAGTTCAGATGCAAAAGCCTCTAAATGCCATTTGAAATTTTCTTCTTTAATGATGATTTTTATCAAACTTATATATTTAAGTTAGGAATTTTACTTAAATAACAATTAATAGGTAATTATCATTGCAATTTAAGTGAAATTACTGAACTTAAATATACAAGTTTGATAAAAATCATCATTAAAGAAGAAAATTTCAAATGGCATTTAGAGGCTTTTGCATCTGAACTCTTCATATATATAACCTATATGTAAGAAATAAGGTATAAGAGGCTGTGCTGTATCATGAATTATTTACCGCTGAAGGGTGTTCTTAGTGATCACAGAGAAGGAAGACTTATACTGACAAATGACTAGGGCACCGGATAAAAGGACAAGATATCACAGCTGAAATTCAAACAGATTTTTTATTACAATTAACATTAATTAACAATTAATGAACAATATCAATGAGATCAAACTGGTTGCGAGGGGTGTTACAATATGTAGTGATACATAGTTACATTTGATTTAGGCCTATTCTTTTCTCACCTGGCTGGACTGTTTTGTTTTGTTTTTTCAAAATTGTATATTTTTGGCAAATGTAAAGTTCCTTTTATACCAAATTTGAAATGAATAGTCCTCAGGCTGAAGGAAATGCAAATTCACACATAAACAGTAGAGGGCACAGCTCAACCTAACCTGTTTCGCTGTGATGTTATTCTGGATTGTAAATAATATATAAATTGTAATATTTTTGCTTATTGGTATGGTTGAATTGGATCATCAAATGTCAGCAACAAAGACATTGGTTAATAAAGTGAGATTAAATGCATAAAGAATATTTGTGTTATTTAACGCTGAAGTTACTTCTCTCAACATGGGGACAAGAGAGCCGTCAGACAACAAAGTAACTTGACTTGCTTGAAAATGTAACTCAAATATCAATCAACAGCATTTACCACTGAAAATAATTCCCTGTGTATTATTCCAGCTATAAAGTTGTTCTGAACTATTTTATAATCATTTATGTGTTATATTTTCATGGCAACTTTACGCAGAAAAGGCTATTTTAAAGTGATTTAAAGTGTACAGTTGCTCTCCAATTCCCACCATAACCATCCCATGGTTTTAAGTGCAATTATTGCTAGTAAAAACAAACCCATCATGCGACATTTGCAGACTTGTAATTGTCATTATCCATAATATTGCTGAACCACCGTTAAGATGTGAGCCATCCAGCTAACATAATTGAGTCAGATTTCATTGCCAGAGAGGCAGTATTTGTACGCTAGCTGAAAGCCTGTAGAAATATTATTCAGTATGTTGGGGGGGAAAGAACGAGACAGAGAGAAACCGAGAACTGTAATATATTATATTATGATTTGTTCTTCTCATAGTAGAAAAAGCTGTTTTCCACCATCCAATGAGATTATCCACATCAAATAACCACTAGAGGTTTTACGCTCGACTCACACACAAACACACAACTCTCTCTCTATCGCTCTCTTAGCCAAAAATTATTTTGTTTCCCATCTCCATAACAACAGCCTGAGTGGCTGAGAGCGAGAGAGGACAGAGAGAGTGAGTTTGTAATATTCACCGCATGGATAGGCGGAGCTGTGGAGAGCATGTGTGAGTGTGTGAGAGACGAAGATGCTCAGATGGTAGTGTGCCGGGGTGGAATCAGGGCGGTGTGATGCACATCAGAGTAGATGAAGACGCAGGAGATCAGCTAACGCCACACATGGTGAGAAACCCACGCCTTTTACTTGCATTTGGCTGGGGACAGGTGTCAGAGAGTGTGTTTGGTCGGGGTTTTATGTAACAGGCTGCAAGACCAGAGATGGTGAGATAGAGTTACATACTGTCATACTTTTGCGCTCAGTAGCACATGCTGGACTTCAGAAATCAGCAGAAGAAAAAAATCTGAAAAGTCTCTGCGTTCTTTTTTTTCTTTTTGTCTAAAACTAAAAATTATGTCTCAGTTGCATTTAATATTAATATATATATACATATATATATATATATATATATATATATATATATATATATATTTTTTTTTTTATTATTATTATTAAATAGCATTTTGACCTCTGGAGTAGCATTTACATTACACTATGAACAAGAAACCAATACTAGAATATTTTGTATATTTTAATTAGCATACTGTTTATTAAAACTACATCAAAGTCTAATCAATTTTATGATTATTTTTAAACAAAAATAGTGCATTGGTTAAATATTCTAACTGTATTCATGTTTTTTTGTTTTTATTACTAACCTTTATTTGACTTTTATAATTAATAGGCCTAATAGGACTAATCAGTTAACTTATATTTATTTGTAACCAAAGTTGTTTACTTTGTAATTTGTCCACAAGTTGTAGTGTTGTAAGTATTTCCACTAGTTTGACCCTTTCAGACCGGCTCTGTGGAACAGATGTGAACAGGTAATATTTTACTGAATAGGCAGGTATTATTATTGTGTTGTGTGCAATCAGCCAATCACAGAGACGTGGAGGCACTGCTTCCTCTCACATGACTTTTTGTTTGTATTTTTTCTGTTTGCACACATTCATGTCATGTACGGTCCTCCTCACAGGACCGTATAACTCAAAAGGTTACAGGGGAAAGTCAGGGTTTCATTTTTAGGTGAGGTATCCATTTTTGGCCATACAAAAATGTGTGTAATTTGACAGGTAAAGTTATTTAAATTATCCATTAAACAGTCTTGTGGTCTTTTGCCTTTTTTGTTGATTTTGTTTTATTTTGTTGGTTTGACACGTCATGAAAAGATACTATGAAGTTTATTGGGAGATTTTTGTGTGAACGAAACCAGAAATTTGATTTTCTCTTTGATTTTTCTCTTTTGAAGACTCGGAAGACTTGGACATGTTGTCGAGTGCATTTTCAAATTTGATGTTATATGATATTAAACGAAGGATTCCGAGTCTAAATGTTGCATCAACAGATTGTATAATGTATTTATTAAGATTGTATGTCTCCAAAAAGCTAAAATTAAGTCTTTCCTGTTGAGGACTGTGGAGCTTTATTCCATCTCTGTTTCTTCCGCTTGGGAAAACTCGTCTGTTTTTGCTTTTATCCTTCTTTTGCATTATTCAACTCGCCTCACATCTCTCTCTCCCTCTCTTTTTCTCTCATTCCCTCAGGCTAACTTGAAGAAGTTTATGGAATATGTTCAGCAAAGGAACGTTGAGAAAGTGTCAAAGTTTCTGGAGAAAGGGCTTGACCCAAACTTCCACGACCCAGAGACCGGAGGTAAGTGACACCACCTTTACTCAAAAGTCCAGTTTAATTAACATCATACAATTGAGTTGTGTGTGTGCGTTTGCATGTTCTTGTTTATGTGGTTTATGAGGACACAAATGTGTATAATGACAGGGGTTTTACAATATACATTACAACACTTCCTGTATCCTAGTTAAGCAAATGACTTGAAAAACATACAAAACTGTGTGGTGGTGTTTTTTTAAAGGTGAAAATACCAAAAGTGTTCCATGATGAGTAGGCTTAGTGTAAGGGGATAAAATATACAGTTTGTACGGTATAAAAACCATTACATCTATGGAGAGTCCCAGTAAACCTTGTAAATCCAGTAAAACGTGTGTATGCGCCTGAGCCTGCATATTGACTTTGCTCAGTACTATTAAATTGGTGCCATGACCCGATCTCTTAGTGTTTATCTCTTGGCTCTGGGTCAGCCAACAGCTGAATTTAAACTGGAGAGTGGGTATCCATTTCAAGTGTATTTCAGTAATTCTTCAGTTAGGTTATCTTTTTGGTCCCCTTGAGTCTGAATCTGAATGCTGCTTTATTAGCGTTTAGCCCAAACCTAATTCATTAATAACTACTAGCTTACTTGTATTAACATTATTAAAACTACTCCAAATCTAAAAAAATAAAAAATAATAAAAATAAAAAAATAATTGAAAAAAGCATTAGCTTCACACATCAAATAAAAAATGCAATCCATTTAGGAAAATCAACTTGAAAGTTGATCAAGACCAAGATCAGATCTAATTCCAGACATTTTAAGTTCAAGTTGTTAGAAATGCCCTTAATTGAAGAATTACTGTACATGTATTCAGTCAACCCGGTCTCATCCCAAGACGTCATATAACTGACGTTTTGGGACGTCTTTTGACCATACGTCAATATTCGCCTTTTTAGGGCCCCCTTAAATGTCGGTAGATGAGGTTATGGGATCCTAACTCTACCCCAGACCTAAACCTAACCCTAAACCTAACCCGTCACCTAACTGACGTTAAAGGTAAAGCGTCTGTTGTATGACGGCCCGGGATCGCCAACTACCGACGTTTAAGGGGGCCCTAAAAAGGCGGATATTGACATATGGTCAAAAGACGTCCCAAGACGTCAGTTATATGACTTTTTGGGATGAGACTGCAATTCAGTAATCATTTTCACTCAATCATTTGCCAAATTTAAAGAATTAAATGTCAGCTGGTTATCGTCATGGTCTCTTTGAAAACCTAAACATTGAGAAGTTAAATATTCTAATTTCAGTTTTCTATTAGAGTGAAAGAAATGTAAGTAAGGAAGGAAGGAAGAAAGGAAGAAAGGAAGAAAGAAAGAAAGAAAGAAAGAAAGAAAGAAAGAAAGAAAGAAAGAAAGAAAGATTGTTCTACTTGAATGAATATGGTTCCATCAAGTTTGACCTCTTCTAGTGCATGCTGGGGAAGATAAGATCACCTTCTATGCAAATGCCCTCATACTTATTCAGATTTATTCATGCGTTTGTTTGGAACTGATTAGGACTGACCTCTGGCCACCTTGATGGACATAAATGGAAGAGTTTGTGTTTGTATACACGCGTGTATTGTTACAGATAGAGCAGCCTTGACCTCCAGGTTGTGCAGCATTTCAAAATCGGTGTAAAGCTGTCTGGAGACAGAAGCTGAATAATTTCACCACGGTTCATCCTTGAACTTTGAAAGAAATGAAAAGACCGGAAGAGAAATATGGTTGGCCCAATTTTTTTTTTATATTGGAACACAAAAAAAAAGGCCATTAAGCTCCAAAAAGGACCATTTTAATATTGACAGTCAAAGAGCAGCATGAACACTCTTTGCAATGTTTCCTTAAGTATTTCATATGAGTCAAGTTACAAAAAAAAGCATATTTTTCTCCTTTAAAATGGAACACAAATGCACCGAAAGTCAACAGTTGCTTGTTTTTGGCAGAATGTCCGTTGACGATGGCGTCGCAGCTGGAAGGCTGTGCAGAGCTCATAAAGGTCCTAAAGAATGGAGGAGCTCACCTGGATTTCAGGACCAGAGATGGCATAACTGCCCTTCACAAAGCAGTCCGCACCAAGAACCACACGGCACTTATTGTGAGTAACACACACACACACACACACTCGTCCTGCCGACAGTAGGAGGGAACACAGGGTTCTCATACATACTTGAAAGGGAGATCAGAGGTGTATGTGTCTGTCCAGACATGAGTCATGGAGTGGCACAAAGATGAAAAGCTTTCATTGACACCAGGCTGTATAAAAGCTTGCTGTGTTGTATGATGATCAGAGCAGATCTATTGCTGGAGTACACAACTGATGTGTCATCTGAAGTACAACTGAAAGAGGCATATCAATGTTGTTTTTATATGTCAATGACATATTGATCACAACATTAAGAGGCAACCAGGGATGGTTGTCACAATAGTAAGTTATTGGAAGTTCAGACCTTACACAAACCTTACACAAACTTTACACAAACTGTAAGGTTTCAATCACATCAGCAGTTTTTATATGTTGTATTCATAAACCTAATTCATAATCCCATTTTTTATTGTCACATTTTATAAATTCACAGTTATAATTACATAATTACAATAGGCTGTTGGCCTAAACAATGGTTTATTTTGCTTACATTCTTAATTTTAGCTGTTTCTGGAATCATTTAGTGCTTTATACTTAATTTAATTTAACAATAAATTATATATATGAAGAGTTCAGATGCAAAAGCCTCTAAATGCCATTTGAAATTTTCTTCTTTAATGATGATTTTTTATCAAACTTGTATATTTAAGTTCAGTAATTTCACTTAAATAACAATTAATAGGTAATCTTCATTGCCATTTAAGTGAAATCATTGAACTTAAATATACAAGCTTGATAAAAATGATCATTCTAGAAGAAAATTTCAAATGGCACTTAGAGGCTTTTGCATCTGAACTCTTCATATATATATATGATTGATGATTTTTATCAAACTTGTATATTTAAGTTCAGTAATTTCACTTAAATAACAATTAATAGGTGATTATCATTGCCATTTAAGTGAAATTACTGAACTTAAATATACAAGTTTTATAAAAATCATCATTAAAGAAGAATATTTCAAATGGCATTTAGAGGCTTTTGCATCTGAACTCTTCATATATATATACAAATTGTTGTGTTGACAACATATACATTATGTCTACAAATACAGAAATGGACTTAAATAAATTCACTGTAGTAAAACTTGTGACAACTAGCCCCGTTATGACATATCCCAACTGTTTAAATCAGTTTGCCAACCATCATCTTTTCATGTCAGACATGTACATGCTGTTAAGCTTGACGCTAAACCTCACCCTTTTCCACATTGTTGCTCATTCATTTTACTGTTTGAATGTATTCTTAATTCCGTTATTGAAAACTATTATGAAAAATGTTCGTTGACGACTTTTTTTCCATTACTAAGACAAGATGATGACGACGGGACGACATTCACGTCATTAAAGAGTAACTGACTATATCAACATGCAATATAATTGACGGAACAAGACAAGTCAAGTACGTTAAAGTAACACCAGGTAACTTTTGCTCTCGGGGGTCCCCCTACAGTTGGGAAACAGTATGGTCCTCTACTACTGTCGTAAACTCTGTCATCCTACATGCACGTGCATTTGTTGACAACCATGAAAGCCCTGAACACTGTAGGAGGAGGTCACATGCAGGTGTTCTGCTTGCGTCGCTACCATAAATGAATCTGCAAATTTTACAAATCGATTCGCATTTTAGCTTGAGGCAAGAAAAATAAACGAATATCACAGACATGTTAGGTATCCTAAAATATGATTTTGTACATCTTATATATTTACTTGCAAGAATGTAGCCCCTACCAAACTTGTACACACCATTTAGACGATAGCTAACCATCAAAAACTAGAATATCGTTTACTAGCTACCAGATTGATAATTCGCTACTCTACTATCATTACTTGATTCATGAAGATAAACGGAGGATAAGATAGCTTCCGTGCAGACAAAAAAAACAAAACAAAAAAACAAAACAAAGAGATATACTTACTAGTCCAAGTCCACATCAGTCAAGCACCCCTCCTCCTCATTCAGCTCACGCCAGCGAGAAACGCTGACCCAATGTTGATCCTCGTTCTGCCTTTAACGCAATCACTTTCTCTTTTTCTCTTTTTGCTTTGCTCCGATAAAACCTTTGCTTTCTTGTTTTTCTGTGCTGCTTCGGCCATAACTATAACATTTGGCTCGCACGTCCGATTTTAAGGAAGTGGGGGTGGTGGTGGAAGTGATGTATATGCTGTAAAGCATTCGGATTTTGTAGTTCTCTTTGTTCGCCGGTTACTACCCGAAACCCAAAGATTAAAATTACGATTAAAAACGCTACAGACCCCGTCAGGCTATGGCAGACGTGTCATTCAACCTTTTGTAAGTCGATGTACCATCACAAGAGACTTGGAAATATATTATGAAGGTTGAAAAGTTACCTGCTGTTACTTTAAAAAATAAAAACTTAACCAAAATCAATCTTTATTTTTGTCTAGAAAAAAAGTGGAGACAAAATATTGCAGACAGTATTTCAATAAGCCTCCATGAGCCTTTCATGTTTATGGTCGCCAGATGTGGTCAAAAGTTTAAATTGCCCAATCAGAGTTGCCCGGTGTTTTACTTAATCTTCGCACTCTGGCAACCATGCGCACCCGCTTTCTCTACACTGTGGAAAAAGTGCTGACAAACATGTAAGCTGGATTTTAACAAGCTGCATTGCGATATTCTTCTTAAACGAAAAGGTAATAGAGCCAGTTTGTTGCTACTAAATCTGTAAGCGAACCTTTTGATCAAGTGAACTGTAATAAATATTAATCTAATAAACACAATTTGGAATTTCAATAGAAATTTTACTACTTTTGAGAGAGTGTTAATTTATATATATTTATTATAAAAACTATAAAACTATAAAAAATCAGGAAACTAGATGAGGTCAAATAAACCTTGATTTGTGCTTATGTGAAAGTGCAGGAATTCTGATGAAATGTGAAAACTATTTGCAACTATTTGAATGAGTCTTGGAAGACTTATCACAGTTAATAAATTGGCTTGGCTTTTAAGTCCTCGGTTATGAGGGACTGTGGTGCAGTCCTGTCTCAGCCTCAGATAGCCCGCAGTCCGTTCACTGAACGCCTAATGCATACTGCATCACAGAACTTGTAAGAGCTAGCAGTAAATCTGCAAGGATAAGCGGCAAAGTGCACCAGACTTTGCTGATATTCGACAGTCTTATTCGACTGGCGAGGTTGTAGGTTTGAACCCCACAAGGGGTTGCCCTTGAGCAAGGTACTTAAAGATATGCTGTATGTGAATTTTATTTATTTATTTTTTTTATGGAATAGAATGCAGAAAATGGTCCAAATACTTGACAGATATCACTGAAATTGTCTCAGAGACCACCTGAGGTGCTGTGAAAAGTAAAAAGAAATTTGACTGTGGAGGGCTGTTGCTAGACAGGGACAAAACTTTGAAGCAGTTCTGTCTGTCAATTTTGTCTGAATATGTTCGCCAATATCGGTTTGCTGACTTGTTTTTTAAGGACATGATTTTGGAGAAATAAGGCAGGGAAATGAAAGTCAGTCATAAATGAGAGAAATGAGCATCATTTGTGTGTGCAGACGCTGCTGGACTTGGGAGCCTCTCCGGATTACAAGGACAGTCGTGGCCTGACTCCTCTGTATCACAGCTCTATGGTGGGGGGCGACCCGTACTGCTGCGAGCTCCTGCTGCATGATCACGCTCAGGTGGGCTGCATGGATGAGAACGGCTGGCAGGAGATTCACCAGGTAACACGCTTCTTGTACCGTTTATAATTCAAAACTCCTTTCAAAGTTAATGTCTAAGCTGCAAAAATGTGTCATTCGGAAATTGTCATGGAATTGACATCACAAACACATTCATCATCCACATTGTTCAAATGTTTGGGGACATGATGATTTATTTATTTGGAAAGAATTTAAAACTTATTCAAAAAGAATGCATTAAATTGACCGAAAGAGACAGTAAAGATAATTTAATGTACTGTGACAAAATATTTCTATTTTAAATAAATGCTGCTCTTTTGAACTTTGTTCATACTGAAAAAGTCATATTAAACTGCTCAAATATTAAACTGTTTTAAACTTTCTTGAGGACCAAATCAGTCTAACTGGGAAAGGCAGGCAGAAAATTAGGATATTAAAATAGAAATTGTAATAATATCTCACAATATTATCATATTTACTGAATTTATTTTATATATACTGTATATATATACAGTATATATATACTGAGCCCAAACTTTTGACCAATCGTGTAAATACATGTTCAGTATTCATCTGCTTGTTTCTATTGATGAATAACAGAGGCTACGTTCTCACGCTGTACACTTTTTAAACTGACAGCCATATTTTACAGGTGTGAGTCTCGAAATGCCCTGTCCAAACAGCAACTTAGAGTATCGGTTTGAATAGTGTCTGTATGACCATGCAATGGGAGTCAAGTGACAGTGACAAAAGTAATATCAAAGATGCCTACATCCATAAAGCTAAATGTCCAATCTAGCCGCAAGTTCACCCATCAAATAAATTAACCGACAACAGCGTTTACATCTGGGTCGAGAGCGAATAGTAGCCGGATCTAAAACCCACCTATTCTGCTGCTGTTTGAATGTGGCCAGACAGAACTATTTACATACAAAGTCTTAAAAGCATTCTGAATCTTCTCAGGGTCAGAGAAAAGATGGAAAATGAAAAGCTAAATTACAGCTGTTTTTGGACAAATCATGTTGACGGACATTTCAAATGGACTTCAAGAGGAAAAAAAATACAATAAATAGAGCACACACACAGGTCACCCTACCCCAGCTGACCCTGTGAATTAGTGCAGGGTTATACAGTAGGAGATTGTGTTCCAGAGGCTTTTTCTCCATCTCTATCCATGTACTGGAGGCTGGCCAGGCGCACACACTCACTTCTAAACTATTTCTCTCAGTTAGCAGCCCCTGGTGCATGACATTTGCATTCATGACATCTGACCTTTTCCGAAGCTTGAAAAGGGTGAGAGAGAGAATATCAGCAAGGGCCATATATCCATCCTTGTTTAACCTCCAAACAGGATCTAAAATGAATACTTGCCAAGTGCCAAACGTGAATGAAAATTTACTTTGGCAAGTAAATAAGACTTAAAGGGTTAGTTCACCCAAAAATGAAAATTCTGTCAGTATTTACTCACCCTCATGTTGTTCCAAACCTCTATGTGTTTATTTGTTCTGCTGAACACAAAGGAAGATATTTGGAAGAATGTTTTAATCAAACAGATCTCAATCCCCATTGACTACCATAGTACTGTATGTATTTTTTCCTACTATGGTAGTCAATGGGGACTGAGATCTGTTTGATTACAACATTCTTCCAAATATCTTCCTTTGTGTTCAGCAGAACAAATAAACTCATAGAGGTTTGGAACAACTTGAGGGCGAAATACTGACAGAATTTTCATTTTTGGGTGAACTAACCCTTTAATTGCTCACCGGTTAGTTAGCGGCTTTATTAGAACTATAGCACTTTACTTATACTAATTTCATGCATATAAATACATATATTGGTTTTAGTGCTGATAATAGTTATTATAAGAGTAATATCTATTCTACAATAATGGTATGTACTGTATATTATTATCATTAATGATGTTAGTACAAAAAAAAGTTATACAGCCCTAATCTATAAATTATTAGTATTAGTAGTAGTATTTTATCAATATCAGTAGGCCCGTATTAATGCATTTAGCAATAAAGCTTCCAAATTGAACCGCCAGTTCAGGCCTAAAAATGTGACGGACATGTTGTTAAACTATGCTAGCTACACTTCACAAACACACACTGCCCTCAGGAGTCTTGCCTTAAGTGTGCAGAAAGAGAGCAATAGTTGAGAGGCCTGATTTGTGGGTATGGGGAGGTGGGCACTTTTCTTATGGTAATATTTATTTTTCCACCACTCTCCCTTCTTTTTAATGTTCTCATCCATCTGTCTGACCTACAATTGTCATTTTCAAAGACAACCTATGGCAACCCATGCAAATGCCAAGTGAGTGTGTGTCTCGATGAAGCTGCTCTTCACACAACTCTATAGTTTATATTCAAATCTATCTGTGTTTGAGTGTGTGTGATTGTGTGTGTGTGTTTAAATGGACGTGTATATTCTACATCAGAATATATGAATGAATGGATAAATGTGAATCCAGACACATTCATTCCTGTCTCTTTCTGTCTGCCATTGTGCATGTTCAATTATTCTGTAGTTAACCGTCTATACAAACATACTGTGGAGCTAAAGCTAACATTAGCTCTGTTCAAAAACCTAGTAGGCTACACCATATAAAATACATAGAGGACTCATTGGCCGCTTTGGACCGTTGCTGCGATACGTCAACGAGTCTGCCATATCAAATACAAGTAAATGGGGAGCTGCAGCTTTTCTGGACAAAAAAAAAAAAAAGCACAATAAGATTTATGATTCTCAACCGATTTCAATTGTTTATGATCTGAGTGGAGTACGAAAAATGTTCTGTCTCCAATTACTCAGGATCTCACTAGTTAGCAAATTTTTCATTGTCATAAAAAAATTGTGAAAACTCGCGCTTGTCTAGCATAGATTTGGTTTATTTTTCTTGGTTAATTGTGGAAATGTCCCTAATGCAATATAATTTAATGGGCATGAAATGTGCACATTGTTTTTTAATTGTGGAAATGGCCTTTTCTGTCTTCAATGCCATCATTTTAGCGTTTTCTATTGTGCCTTTTAGCTTTTTCTCTTGGATCACGTCATAGGATTTGTCACAGGACAATTTCAAATGAATGTGCAGATAATTTGCATTTAAATCAGATAATGTGGCCTTATAATGTGGCTCTCTCTAGTAGGCAATATTAATATCACAGAGTGGACCCCTGATTATAAGATCATCCTTAATGGATCCAGTAAACATTTAAGTTACAACTGTAAAACATTTATACTACAACAGTACAGTATAAATTGAATGAAATTTAAGTGTTATATAAGGTCACATGTAATAGTTCAATATACAGTAAACCGCACTTGTATTCTATAGCATATTGTTATTATTATTATTAGCCTGAAATACAATTGAGTAAAAATAAAAACTGTGCAAATCACTTTTAATCACTTGGTTTCTGTCTGCATTGATGCACTGTCCAGCAACATATTTCCAGGGTTACCGCAGGGCATTAAAAATTCTTAAAAGATTGAAATTTGAATCTTCTGATTTTATAGCCATTATTGCGCGCTACACCAGAGATCAGTCTGGCAGGGTAAGTCGCTTGGGAGAAGAGAGTGTGCAAATTCAAGTAAAAAGGGGAAGTGCACAACTAATGACATATATTTAGCCAGGTGCAATTTACTCTTTTTAAACCGAATTATTTCAATTTTAGAATTCATTTTTAGAATACTTTTCGGTAACACTTTATTTTACGACCCGCAAACAACTGTGTAAGTACACCGAAATTACGTTGTACGTTTCTGTAATTATAGTGTACTTCCGTGTAGGTATAAGGGAACAATATGTTAAGTTTGGGGTAATAAAGGGGTAACAAGCACCACTTTAATTTACAGCCCGCAGGAGTTACACTTACCCTGTAACTACACAGAACAAGGGGGTAACAAATGCTACTTACTATGTAGCAAAACGAAACAACACTATTTGCACTGTAATTACAGAGAAAGGTACTGTTATCAAAAAAAAAAAAAAAAAAAAAAAAACGTTTTAATTACACAGTATATTTGCCCTGACATTGAAGTGTCATTGCAATTCAATGGGATAAGGAATTAAAATCATAGCAGAAACAAATTATTTTGACTTTTGTAGTAATCTAGTAAGAAAAGCCAATAAATTTAATTTAAGCCAAAAACAAAATTACCCTGAACATATTTTGCCAGAAATGTGATACATTATAAACAACAGACGTACAATCTTCGCCTGGAATATATTAACAGAATAGGTACCTGTTATTTTTTAACTAATTAAATAATTTGCTTGTACATCTGCTTGTTACCCCCTTATTACCCCAAACTTTACATATTGTTCCCTTATACCTACACGGAAGTACACAATAATTACAGAAATGTACACCGTAATTTCAGTGTACTTACAAAGTTATTTGCAGGTTGTATATCTGTTTGTTACCCCTTTATTACCCAAAACTTAACATATTCTTCCCTTATGCTTAGACGGAAGTACACTATAATTACAGAAATGTACACCGTAATTTCGGTGTACTTACACAGTTGTTTGCGGGTCGTAAAATAAAGTGTTACCTACTTTTCCATCAATCGGTTACAACACTGCGCGCTTGCTGCAACAAAGTGGCATGAACACGCGGATAAAATCAACTGCTACATGGATGAGAAGCATGATGGAACGAGTGGATGAGAATCCACATTCACTCTCTAGAAGTAGATGGCGCTTTTGGAACAGCAGAAATGCAGTTACTCCTGTAATCCCCATAGCAGGCTGTGTTACTTTTTGTTTCTGAACAGCTAGTCAGTGAGTTGACTTGTCATTTGATCAGTCACATTACATCCAGTTGTGTTAGATTTTAACATTTACTTAACAATATTACATGTTACATTATGTCATTATGTAAATTTTTAGGAGTACGGTTTTAGTTGATTACATATATACAAATACATGATACAATGCATTTTGAGAATGGGTTTGTTCTTTATGTGAGTAAGGCATTCATTTTCATTTCTTCAGAACTTAAAACTTCAGTCTTAAACGTAAATCTAAATTCGATTTTTATTATTATTATGTACAGCAACCTTGATTTCTTGCTTAGCAGCAATGGATAGCCATATGGGCATCTGGACACCATGTCCAGAAGGTAACGATAAAGTGCCGTACAAATGTTTTCAAACCGCAGGAGACGGCGAAAGACCCTACTCCAGTTGCGTGGCCAAAGATGAGCAGCAGTGAATGTTAATTGGCCCCTGTGCCGGTACTGGATCTCACAGCTGGGGGCCCCTGGGTGTCTCTTGCATGTCCAGTCACTAATCCCGCCCTGCTCTATCTCTCTTTTCCGCTCTTTCTCAGGCAGACAGCTTTTAAGCAGTTTTTCTACATCCCACACTCCATTAGTATGCAGAGAGGACACGTTTTGAATTATGGTGGAAAGAAAAGTGACATTGATATCACCAAACAAAGGGAAACAGTTCTGCTCTTTCTCATTTCATAAACCGAGAACATCAGGATGTGAGAGTGTGTGTGTGCGCTTGAAAGAGAGAGGCAGCAGCTATTCGTTTTATATGATTTTAGTTCTGTATGCAGGCTACAAATTGAAACAAAACAGAAACGGGCACTCAATAAAAAGTTTTTTTGTGTGTATGTTTTGCCAGGCTTGCCGTCACGGACATGTGCAGCACCTTGAACATCTGCTGTTTTATGGAGCGGACATGAGCGCTCAGAACGCTTCTGGAAACACTGCCCTGCACGTGTGTGCTCTCTATAACCAGGTAACTCATTCAATCATACTGTACGCATTCCCTAAGCAACCAGTCATCACACGCACACACACATACACACACACACAAACACACATTCTTCAGGCTCAGATTTCTGTACCCACAAGGACACACTAAATCATTCTGCCTGAAATATCTGCACCCTTTTCAACCAGGTAAAACATGAACATGCAGACATCTGTACGCATACTGTATGTGGCTTTAGCAGGTTTTATTATGTATAATTTGTTATCATTTATGTCAGTCAGAGTTTATGAGCATAAAACAGCAAGATCACAGATTGTTCGTGTGTGTGTGCATGTGTGCTGGGCTCATGCATTTTAATTCAGCTCTTATTAAGTATTAATGGACGCTCCCAAAACACACATGCATGCACCCACGTAAACACAAAGAGAGTCCTTTAGGAACGACTGAAACGCCAGAACTCACATGTGCTGTGTTCTTTATCTTTCCACTCTCTCTCTCTCTCTCTCTCTCTCTCTCTCTCTCTCTCTCTCTCTCTCTCTCTCTCTCTCTCTCTCTCTCTAATTGGTTTAGTATACTTAAATTAATGTTTTTAAATTTTGGTGAAAATTTCTCCACTCAAAGCTTTATTCTCGGCCCACGATATAGAGCGGCACAAAGAAGTAAATGTCAACTGCTAAATTTCTTGATTGGACAAGCTAAAAGAGCTATTTATATCTCAAGGAAAAAGAGGTTAGAAGGTATAGTAGGGCAAAAAGTTGAGATGGTTTTTAAAAATTTGGTGAAAAGTTGGGTTCTGATTGACTTTAAGTTTTATAAGTTGGTTAATGATTATGAAGTTTTTTTGCAAAGGTGGGGATATAATGAAGCTATTTGCACAGTTGTGGAAGGAATGGTGGTTTTTGCTTTAGCATTGGAATAAGTATTTTGGAGTGGATTTGGAGTGATTTATGACAGAAATGTAATTATTGATATTAATATAAAAGCTATGATATGAAGTTCTGAGGATCAAATAAAGTTGTTGTGAAAAAAACTCTCTCTCTCTCTCTCTCTCTCTCTCTCTCTCTCTCTCTTAAAACATCTTATCAACCCCAAAATTTTAAAATGTAAAATTTTTATACAGTATATACATATACATATACATATATACACAGTATATATACAGTATATATATATATATACTGTATATATACTATATATATATATATATATATATATACAGTACTACATTTAAAAATTTTGGGGTTGATAAGATGTTTTAATGTTTTTGAAAATTGGTTATGCTCACCCAGGCTGCATTTATTTAATCAAAAAATACAGTAAAAACAGTAATATTTTAAAATATGATTACAACTGAAAATGTTTTCTATTTGAATATTTCTTATAGGAACACACCACTGTTTTTTATTTATTTATTTATTTATTTATTTATTTATTTTATTTAAATAGGGGTTATTCAACGTCTCCCCTACATTTAATAGGTGGCCAAACACATTTTTGTCACATTATTATTAGTTATTAGTTAACTAAGTAATAATTAGTTTTTTTATTTTTTTCTAAAAGAAATATTATCTTCAGTACTATCTTGCAACAAAGGATTCCATTCATCATGCTAAGACAATGCATGTACTGAGATGAAAATACATTTGCCCATCTATCTAAATGTAGGGGAGACGTTGAATAACCCCTATTTCAAAAACGGTGACGTGTTCCTTTAAAATGTAATTTATCCTTGTGATGGTAAAGCTGAATTTTTAGCATCATTACTCTTCAGTGTCTTCGGTCTTCAGTGTCATGTGATCCTTCTGAAATCATTTTAATATGCTGATTTGCTGCTAGTAGTTACAGTGACAAATCTAAATCATATTTTTGTGTGTGCGTGAGTGTGGTTTTGCAGATGTGAATGTAAATGTTTGTGTGTGTTTTTCTATCCCGGAGAGGAGACTCATGCCACCGTGGGGACCTAAATTGAAGTTCTCCTGAGGAAACAAGCATATAAATCATACAGAGTTTTTTTGGAAAATGTAAAAAGGTGTTCTGTGATGGGTAGATTTAGAGGTAGGGTGAGTGCAAGGGGACAGAAAATACAGTTTGTACAGTATAAAAACAATTACGTCTGTGTAGAGTCCCCACAAAGATAGAAAACCAAGTGTGTGTGTGTGCAAGACTGTCCATTTGTGTGTTTGTGTGTGTGATTTACTAATCTTACAGCAGTGGTTTCTGTTTATCTTCATTCTGCTCATTATAATGAGATTAAACTACAGCTGACCTGCACTAATGCAGCATCCAGTCTGGAAGAAGTCAGTTACAAACAGATCAATAACATCAAAACAACACAAACATGAAGAAAAGAGGACACCACACAATGACCTCTATACTTCTGAAACAAAAATAGCACTGTATTAAATAAAGATCATAGTTCTACTGTTGATGTCTAATGATATTGTGTATTTTTTTTTTAGGATGGGTAAATTTTTATCTCAAGTGTCACAAACAAAAACTTGCATGCATCACACCAGGCATCTCACATCTCTGACAGCACAGATGTGTTAGAGCCGTGTGACAGACACACTTCAACAGAAAACAGAGCTGCTGAGACAGCAAGGAAAAGTGACATGAAATAAATATAGCAAAGGACTTTGGGGGGTTGTTTATGTACGTACCATACTTCAAGGATTCATTTGCTGGAAAATGTCCTTAAATGTTAGCTGTCGGTCATTAACCACGTGGGCATCTGGACAAATGCTGCTTAAAGGTTCTTTTATAAACATTCTGTAATATCACCATATCATTTTTTTAGTTTATTTAGTAAGTTGGAAGTCTCCTTTCATATTTCAGTACAGTACAGTACTGTACAGTACGATTAAAAAAAGAGACTAAAATGCCTTAAAAATCCAAAAGCTGTGTTTTGTCAAGTCCTTTTTTATAGTTTATTCTGTATGTTCTATAGTTATATATGGAATAAGCCTAATTCAAAAGCAAGATAAGTCCTCAGAAGTAAGGCAAATCTGTCAAAAAAGAAGGAAAAATGGATCATAAAGAGACTAATTAATGTCCAAAAGTATTTTAGGGTCATAGTATTTATTATAAACGGTAGAAATCAAAGTTGTATAATTATAATTGGCTAAATTTAAGAGCTAGAGAAGTCAATTAGACATTGTCATGCATGTAGCTTTGCAAATGTCCTCAGAAGTTAGCTTTGTCTATAAAAAAATAAATAATTTTAGAGATATTCTCTACTAGCCAAATTACTCTTGAAGAGATTAAATAATGTCCAAAAGTTGTATTTTATGGTTATATAGTATATATTTTATGTATGGTTTAATATATATATATATATATATATATATATATATATATATATATATATATATATATATATATATATAGTTCACTTTGAAATACATTTTTGGTATGTTTTAGCTTACCTCAATGTAGGTGTCTGTTTCCACAGTAGTTTCAATTTTGATATTTTTAGGTCAAACTGTTCGTGTCTATCAGTCATATAATGGAGGTCTACAGTATGGTCATCATCTCAAAGAGCATGCCCAGAAAAGTCCAAATTAAACATGATTTAATGACTCTTAAATGTAAGTACACATTAATGGCCCAAGACACGAAACGAGCGGTTTGTGTGAGAAAACAAACAGTATTTATATCTTTTTTTTACCTCTTGTAACCTCAGTCATGGCCAAGTGATCTGAGGGCACGGGCGCTTTGTGGCTGTGGTAACAAGAGGTAAAGATGATATAAATACTGTTCGTTTTCTCATACAAACTGCTTGTTTTGTGTGTCTTCAATGTGTACTTACATTTACGAGTCATTAAATCATGTTTAGCCATGCAGCAAAGGACAACCCCCCAGATCTTTAGTGCCACCCTTTTCCTGATGTCATCCTTCACTTGATAGGGTCCAAAGAGGTCCACGATAGTGAACTCGAATGGTGCAGCAGGTTCAGTTCTTTCTAGCGGCAAATCGCCTATTACTTGTTAACATTTCCTTGCTTTAATCTTCCTGCAGACCATACAGCCATCAACAATCTTCTGGGCAATACTCCGTCCCGTAATGACCAATGCCTTCCTTCTTATCTTGAGCAAAGTTCCAGCATGAACTTCTACTGTGGGCCTCCCGAGCCAACAATGTAGACACGCATGCATTGGCAAGATGGGGACCGCAACTTGATCGTCTTTAAAACTTTGCACTCGGCCACTACAAACCAACAGCCCAGAGACTTGCTCTTTGGAAACCACTAGACTGTCTGTAGTGGTACAAGGGAGGGTCGAGCCTTCTTGGGCTGCAAGAAATATGTCTCTTAGGGCCTCTTCTCATTCTCTTACCGAGATGACTCCTAATAAAGATGCTCCGGAGCCTGCTCGTCCTTGCAATTTTGGTTTCTGCTGAGAAATTCAAGCTTGCAGTGTGAACTGCCATTATGAATGTCACCTTTTGCATGCCCCCAACTTTCTCACCTTCTCTGCCAGCTTTAGCGCTCAAAGCAGTTTGCAAAAGTAGAGTTCCTCTTGTGCTTTCCGTTACCACAGACGACACATCCCGTGTGGTCATTGCCTTTGTAGCCTTGGTCTGCTCAATCCTGGTTTCTCTCCTACTTGGCTCTTCATCCCTCAATTGCTCAAGTTCATAGCTCATAAATGCTTTCTTGCCTTTTGAGAAATGCCAAGTGGCTGTCAAACCGATTTTCAGGTGCTACAGCATTTGTTTTGTCCGCAGTATAAACAAACCATACCTTTCTTAAGTGACTCGGGAAGTTTACTTTCGATCGAATTTGTTACCAATGGATTTTTGATAGTACTTGTTTCTCCAAGGTCATTCAAGTATTGAAGCGCTTTCTCCACCGCTTGAACTAATTCCACTATTTTCCCATGATTGATCAACTTTAACAGCTGGCATTTTTTGTAACTCCTCAACTATCTCAATAGCTATGTTTGATTACCGCAGCGATTCTCTAGAACATAGAAGATGTCATCTACAGTGTTTAGGTGAATGTCCCTCCCTTCTGTCCCGTCCTCGAGACTGTCCAGCAACTGAACTTTTTTCACCTCCCTGGAACCAGTTGGTTCACCCTTTCATATCGAGTGCTTTCCAGTCTTTTCTCCACCTATAAAAATCACGTTGATTCCCAGTGAATTTTGGAAGAGCTGTTGGTTTCAATTTGATGGTTGCAACAGGATAGCTTGATGTCACTGCTATTCGTGATGAGCTCTCATGCAGCCTCTTCCTTTATCCTTCCCTCTATAAAGTCAGCCTTTCTGGAAACCAACTTGGCTATGGAAAGTTCAAGCATCTTGAGATGTTCCTGGATGTTCTCCTGATCTTCTGGTGGGATCCATCGTTTCCACTGACTATGCACCTCCTTTGCAGTTTTTACCGATCCCTGTAGGAGGTTAAGCATAAAGACATAGCCCTCTTGATTCCCACTGGGCACTTAGCACTTAATGTGGTCCCACTCAACATCTGCTGCCTTAAGTGCTATGGACAATTCAGCATCTCCAAAGTTAGACCAAAGAGCCTTCTGAATGAGATCTTTGACCTCTTTTAGTTTCAACTCACACTCATTTGTAGTTTTTTCTAGGTCAGCTATTTGCTGTCCAGTTAACACACATTCCTCTTCTGTGTCCAGCTCCTCCTCCCAGTCTGCAATGAATCCAGCCTCCATATTGTCATTTGCTTCCATGACTCTTTCAGCTTCCCTTTTGAGTTTATTGAAACATATTTTTGCAGTTCTTCTCTACTTTAAGTTGCTCAACTGATTTCCCAATATCAGAATATAATATTTCAATATTTGAAATATTTCATATTTCAACTTCAGTCACAGATCTATCCTGAGCTGACAAGATATTTTGCGTTTTTCCACGATCCAAAGCTAAAGATTTCCGATCTTCCACCTTTATAGAGCCCCTTTCACACGGCGCGTTGATCCCGGGAAATTGCCAGAACGCCTTCTGTTTGAACGCAAACACGACCCGGGATTGATACCGGCATCGATGCCGGGTTGGGAAATTTAGTGATATTAGACCACATAATCCTTATCGCAAGTCATTTCTTTCAAGTTCACAAGTCGTAGAAAAGAGTCTACAAACAACTATCAACTGATTTATCTGTTATCATTTCACCATGCTGGTTAACCTGAATACAAATCATTTTAATTAACCATCCCCACTCAGCTTTCTTTTATCACTGCACTCGTGTTTGCACTTAAACATCAAAATCACAAATTCAATCAACTAATATTTAACACGGAAGTGACAGACCAAACCAACTATCCACTACAGCTAATTTTAACAGCAGGAGTGATCTCCGGTAAAATGTTCGTCACATTCCTCAAAAGTTCAGCATCTTATACACTCTGTAGACATCTCAGACCTGCACAGTCTTACCGCCAATCGCGCCCCTACATTTTCTTTAACAGTCTTGTTCTTCCACAGTATTTGTTTGTACAATACATGCTCTATCCCAGAAAATGATGATGACGTTGCCATGCGTCCTTTTTTAAACGTTCCTTGTAGTCCTTCAGCATCTGGTTCCGTTGATCTCTCCCTACTTTGACTTAACACTGTGGATGTTAAGCTCAGGTTTAGTGGAGATGTTAGAGTGTATCGATTCCCTAAAAGAGACTCTGAGAGAGGATGTATCAACCTTTGGAGAGAGGCATTACTAGATAAATGAGGGAAAATCTACAAGGGCGATGATGGAAGAGACAGAGAGAGTGTGAAATAGTGCCAAAACGATGAGGAGAGTAAGTGGAGGTGAAAGAGAAAGAAGATGACCACTTGACGTGGAAAAGAAGGGTAAATTCATAGCCACAGTAAGATGTCTGTGTGTGGGAAGTCAGGTTTGCTCTCTTTGTGGGGACCAAATGTCTTTGTGCAGAATATAAAAACTGAAGAACTTATAACCTGCGTCATGGTTTCCTCATCAAATGTTGCATTAATCATGTAAAAAAAAAAACCTGCATAAGTATAGGGTTAAAGTTCGGTTATAATAGTTTCTTTAGGATAGTAAATCTATAGTAGGTAAAATCTAGTAGGATAGTAATGGTAATCTTTAGGCCTAAATCAAAAATGTATTTGTTTAAGCAAACTAATAACCTTAATGTGATGCAGTTGTCAGTCAATCATAAATGTCTAAAAAAAATTATAACATAGTGTATCATTAATTATTTGAATCAAATGATAAAATTTGGTCTTATTTAATTAATAATTAACATTTATTCAGTTACAATTGTGAAAATATTTAAAATATGGCTAGCTGTGGAACAAGCAATATTTAGTTTATCATCACGCTTAAATGATATGATAAATATATAAACCTTATTATTGCATTTAAACCACATTCAGTTATTTAGTACAGAAATCGTATGTTTCTTACTCATTTTATTTGTGTATGACTGACAAATACATTACATTAAGTTTATACGTTTGTATGTGTTCAAACATATAATTCAAAAGGATTGGAAATTGGAAAATGTATATTTTAATATTTGATCAAATACAAAATATGATGCTAGGTTGTGAGTGGTTGCCAAGGTGTTGCTATGTGACTATCAGACTTATTATACTTATTACTGGCTATTAACTTATTACATTTTGTCTGAATTATGTTTTTTTTTTTTTTAACCATTCGTTTGAATGGTTTATCACTTTAATGAACAGTATGCTGGTGTATTATTGTGGAAACTACTTTCAGATGTACCTGAGTTTAGTCTAATAGCGATGGCCATTATAGTCTCATTATAGTGTTCTTGTGAAGTTTCGCCACTAGAGGTCACATGTTGCTCTGTTGTCCAGCAAAACAGACGACCATATAGTCGAGTTCATTCATACTGCTGTTTCTCCAGACTGCTGTAGCTCATGGCTTTTGATTTATTGTCTTGCATTAGTGTAAATAACGTATTATTTTTCAGTTCTGGAAGTTTGTGTCCTTTAAATGGATCAATAGTGCAGATGAGCGTATCAGAGATAGAGAGCAAAAGACAGAAAGAAAGAGGGAAAAAACATCTCTGTGATGTGGAAGCTCAATCATCGTTCTGTTAATTCACTCTGCAGTCGAAATTACATATTGATTTTTGCACAGAGCTGTAGCATTAAACACATGCAGCGCTCCACTCTGTCTCCTGTATGACAGGCTGTGTTCCAAATAGCATAACATCATACTACTAACATACTGTTATGTTTGCAGTATGTTTTGTATATAATGCACGGAACCAGATTATGTATCCCACATTGCAAAATAATTAACTTGTCCTTGTATGCAGTTTGTTTCTTCACTCATTTGATGGGACTGAAATACTGTATGTTGAGACCACTGGATTGAATGATTGAATTGTTGTGGTTTGCTATTGCTGTGATCTCGTGTGAGTGACAGATTACCCCGCCATCATGCCAGTAAACACGTCGTCAGAGAAGAGATGTTGTTGCAATGTCTCACCCTAAATTGAGGATAAGCAATACTGTAAATATAAAACATGCTATATATATACACTACTGTTGAAAAGTTTTGAGCCAGTAAGATTGTTTAATGTTTTTGAACATTGGTTATACTCACCAAGGCTGCCTTTATTTGACCAAAAATACAGAAAAAACAGTGATATTGTGTTATTACAATTTCAAAAAAACTATTTTCTATTTAAACTTATGTTAAAATGTCTGTCTTTACCGGAAATGCTTGTAAAGCTACACTGTGTAACTCTTTTAGTTTATTCTTAGCTAAAAACACTTAGTTCTTTAAAAAATATATGTGCTCATTAATGTATATTTACTTCGTTCAAGTAATAAAGTATTCACATGTGTATATAATATGCCATTGAAAATACATACGGGTAAGGGCTTCTAATGTCGGTCGCCATGTTGCCCCTCCATCTTGAAAGTACAGTAGCCAAAGAGGGACATACCCGTTAATTCAAGCTTCGCCTTTCGCGTTTACGTTTAAGTTAACACTCATGGACGAGGTCGAACTGGAAGCCATGTTAATCTTGGACTACATTGGCCACCGTAGGAGAGAGGAACAGAAACTATTCCCTTGATGGTCATATACATTTTCATCGATAGATGGGGGTAAAAATCACACAGTGTAGCTTTAAGATGTGAGAGAGACGCACAAAAATGCACCATGTGTGTAATTAAATGCCAGCACACAGGTTCCACTGAAGATGTGTTAGTGGGCCAAGAGACACTGATGTTTATTCACCACTGTTAGGAAACTAGGCCACTAGTCCCAGCTGAGTCATGTCTGTGTGATACAGCTCCTAAATGTGTGTGTGAACTGTCAAAACTATCTAGAGAGAGAGAGAGAGAGAGAGAGAGAGAGAGAGAGAGAGAGAGAGAGAGAGAGAGAGAGAGATGATAGCCAGATGCTATGCTGACCTTCTAAACACTCTCAGATGCCCATTGAGAAACACTGCCATTAGAGCAGCTCTGTGCTCGTCTCTCTCTCTCTCTCTCTCTCTCTCTCTCTCTCTCTCTCTCTCTCTCTCTCTCTCTCTCTCTCTCTCTCTCTCTCTCTCTCTCTCTCTCTCTCTCTCTCTCTTTTTTACTCTGATACATATGAGCTGGTGAGCTAATTGATCCCAGTGGAACATCGGTTTTGTCATTTCTGTTGTTGTCAAAGCAACACATGCACACAAACACATTCCGTTCCAACACTTTCTAGGGCAATTTTTCATGGACACACCATGTGCACATTTTACTACCGACAAATTATCATGATGTGTTGTTGTGATCTCTCTGTTTGTCTCTCTCCAGGATAGCTGCACAAGAGTGCTGCTGTTCAGAGGGGCGAATAAGGAGATTAAGAACTACAACAGCCAAACTGCCTTCCAGGTAAGAGCGCAAGACCCCTGGGTTCCTGGAGGTCAACACACCGTGGAAGAGTCAATGGAGCTGGATCTTATTTAAACTGATGCTGTTGTTCACAGCCCACAGAGCCAAACTATATTTAACTTGTGGCCAAGAGCAGTTCACACAGAGCCTCTGATGCCATGAAGACTTTAGCTATTTACTTAGACAACATTTGTGGGCATCTGATGTCAGAGATGTTAACAGTCATTCAAATGACCTTGATTTGGCCAAAATTTAAGTTAGCATTGAATGCTTTGCAACTACCTCAGGGAACATTTTGATTTAAGATAATGAACGGATAAATATTGATTATAAATGTAAACATAATTTTAATCAATCGTAAAGTGATGGTGCATAAACATACAGTATACATTTGGGATATACAGTGGTAGTGCAGTTTATTACACTCTAAAAAATGCTGGGTTGTTTTAACCCAACTTTGGGTCAAATATGGACTAACCCAGCCGTTGGGTTAAATTTTTACATTACATTTTTAACCTAACATTTCGGGTTTGTCCATATTTGACCCAAAATTGGGTTAAAACAACCCAGCATTTTTTAGAGTGTATGTATTCCAAGATATTTCAAAGAATGTCAAAGAATCCATGATATTTTATAAGAAATCATAATACTTTTTTGTTTGGTTTACCATGCTATTGCCATCATGCTAGTGTACAAAGTCTCTACAGTACTGTTATACTGTACACAAACTGTTCACAAGTTTGAAAAAGAAAAAATCTTTAGCCATTTTGAAAGAATGGATACAACAGGGCTAAAGGTGCACCGGGGTAAAAGGTGCCTTTGTATATATAAGTACACTCTCAGAAAAAAAGGTACAAAAGTTGTCACTGGGGCTGTACCTTTTCAAAAGGTACACTATTGTACCCAAAGGCTGCATATTGGTACCTTAGTGGCACCTAAAATGTACATATTAGTACCTAAAATGTATTAGCACCTAAAATATACATATTAGGACCTAAAATAGACATATTAGCTCCTGAAATGTACATATTAACACTAAAAATGTACATATTAGCACCTAAAATGTACATATTAGCTCCTGAAATGTATATATTAACACTAAAAATGTACATATTAGCACCTAAAATGCACATATTAGAACCTAAAATGTACATATTAACACCTAAAATGTACTTATTAGCACCTAAAATGTACATATTAACACCTACAATGTACATAGTAACACCTAAAATGTACTTATTAGCACCTAAAATGTACATATTAACACCTAAAATGTACATATTAGCACCTAAAATGTACATATTAGCACCTGAAATGTACATATTAGCACATAAAATGTCTATATTAGCACCTAAAATGGACAAAAGTTTACCTTTTGAAAAGGTACAGCCCCAGTGACAGCTTTTGTACCTTTTTTTTCTGAGAGTATGAGAATCACTAAAATTATTGATTATATTTTGAGACAAAGGTCTTCTTAATGATTTTCAGTTTTGTTCAAAGTAATTAAAACAGTATTTTTCAATAACGGAAGAATATATAAAAGTATGGTATTTGGGATAAAAGGCACCGCTGCTGTTAGTGATAATAAATATCACATGATAATAAATAGCTGGCTGACTTTTCCACTTGCTGACATGTTAGATTCACATGGTAAATATGATATGTAAAGTTGAGTGTGCACATTAGAGATAATCACCATATTTATAATGAAACACCATATTAAAAAAAAATATGATATTAATGATATCAAATGATAAAATATAATTTATTGTTAACACTAAATATATATCAAAATATTATGGGTTCTCATTCAGTGCTTTCAGTTTTACTTTTTAAAATATCTTTTTTTCTGTATTTGTTAAATACATTGGTTTATTAACATATTTGTATATGTATAACATATTTATAATGACAAATATAAATATATTTAGTGAACAAAAAATTAGTTCCTTTATTTATCACAAAAAAATAGTACAAACTTTGCTGAACTAAAGTAATTGTTTTGAACAAGTATTAACTTAGACATAATTTGATTGATTGATTGATTGATTGATTGATTGATTACTTTTATTGTTCTTTTCAGGAAATTTGTTTCCACCATCTGTACGTACATTACCTCACAAATACATAATACAAAAAAAAAAAAAAAATTAAAACAAAAACATTATTTTAGCGGAAGTATTTGTATCAATACTTTGTGCCTTTTGCCCCATGGTGAGCCTTTTACTCCCTGTGTGAGACCCACCTTGCTAATGCATGTATAAGATTTTTAAACAAAATGAACCACTTTTATAATTTATTTTCAACATCAATGTTCAAAACATACATATTTTTCTGCAATCAGACACTATGGGAGTAGAGAAAAGCAATTTTATTTTTTAAGGGTTGCCTTTAGCCCTGTTGTACCCTATATAGGATTTAGTGGAATAGTGTATTAACCCTGTTGACATTTGTCGGGTCAGTGTAAAGCAGCATGTTAACATCACATATCAAACGCTTCACTTGTGCCCTTTTGAGCCAACAAGTACAATAATTGCTTAATTTAAACAACATTATATTAGTGTTTGTCTTGCATCTTCCATGATGCTCGCTGCTTGAACTCACAGTACAATTGGAGTTGACACAGATTTTCTGCTCAGATCAAAGTTAATTTGTTAGTAAATGGGGAGGGGGAACCCGTCTTGGTGCGGCTTCATAAACCAACACGGAAACCATTAGACAGCTGCTTTGATTCAGCTTTTAGTGAGGAAAAGTTAATTAGCCCTCATATTTATGAGAGAGAGAGAGAGAGACTTGTAGATCATTCATGTATCATATTAGACAGAAATATGCTTACACTATGCATGGCACACAATGCCTATGAGTTAAATTTTCTTAAAGGAAAAGAGTCTCTCAAACTAATTCTGTAAGTTAAGGAACCCTGTCATTTGGTACATTACTATAACATTAAAGGTTAAAATTAACAACCAAGTACAAATTCATGCTATTTCTTTTATATAAACTAAAGTAAAAGTTTTTTTTTTTTGTTTTATCAACTCTGTAATGTTTAAATTTCTACTCCAAATCGTTGTTGAAACTTTAACATCTTTAACATTGGCATAAACCATAACATCATAACCTGTCAGTGTCATTGTCGTGACAACTTGACATAAAATTAAGTTACTTCCTTAATATTAATAACATATGTCATGTCATGATTAGTCTTATGCACTCTCCTTCAAGTAAAGTGTTACCTAAAACAGTAACTTCGGATTTTTGTTTGCCCATGGATGTGCAGCAGGGAAATAACCCATTTGTATTTCTTTCTACAGGTGGCTATTATAGCTGGGAACTTTGACCTGGCAGAAATTATAAAGACTCACAAAGTATCAGATGTTGGTAAGTGTCTCGTAGCTCCACCATCATTGGCTGCTTTAAATTTGAGCAAGCACAAACGATCCCTCGCGTTAATGAATCCCTACAAACACAACAGAGCGCCACAGCCGGCGAACATGAAAATGAGAGTGGTCCCTTGTGTTTCTGTGTGCATTTGTGAGTCCGCGGCATTCGTGTGAATGAGAGTCCTCACTCTAATTGCCAGCATCAACGGCAAGGCTAGCTCATTCCACACGCTAGTTCTGGCGGGGAATAGCAGGCAGCCAGTTGTAGGGCCACTGTGATGGATCATACCCATCAGTGTGGAGTACCATTGTCATGGCGACGGAGAGGGGTTAATCCCCGAGGCTCAGCAGGTGTTGGGAGTTTGATTTGAGCCAATGGCAGTGTAGCCGCAGGCTCCGATATCTCATCACAACTGTGTGTGACCTGACCTCGATGAAGAATGGGATGTACGCTCACACACGCTGAAAGAACACAAAGAAGCAGCCTTAAAACACACCGTTTATGGGATTTTGTCACTAATGCTGAAGCCTCTCAGAATGTCCTTTTTTTTTTTCTTTCATTTATTTCCTTCCCATTAGATACCAAGAGAAAGAGTGAGCGAATGTGTCCTGAGTGGGCTGGGCAGTTGGCCTTTTCACTCTGAATGGATGGGCAGAAGAGTAGAGGATTTAAACAAGCAGACAGCGTGGCCACAGAGCGCAGTATTTATTTACACTGCTCAAACAAGCAGCCCAAATGAAGTTGCCTGTCTTTAAACTTTCCCAGGAGTTATAGACATAGTAATATGTATGATAATTATTAGTACTGTCAGTTTGACATTATTAATTATTATAAAATGACATAAAAATGAACATAATTAAGCTGGACAGGGAAACAATATTTTCTTTTTTTCTTCTTTTTTTTTTTACCAGTAAGTTTTATTTACTTAAAACTCTTCTTGGTTTTCTTTAATTTAACTGTAAATAGTAGCCTGGATGCCAGCCCGAACCCCGCCCACAACATTGTTTGGTCGGGAAGTTCGGTCTGGACTCCATTTATGATCAGTCAAAAAATAGTCGGGTCAATCAAATTTCCTGGGCGGGCTTTATACGATGATGGACAGATGATCTGCAGTTAAGTAATCATCACGTCATGAAAGAGCGCTTGGTTTGAACAAAGATGACTGCAGCTGGAGAATTGAGATGTATACTGTAGATTCCGCTATCGCGTCTGTTTAAGAAGAAATTGATAGCGCATTAATTTTAAAGAACGAACAGAGAACTGCAATAAAGGCATGTGTCAGTCGTCAAGATGTGTTTGCCGTCCTTCCGATTCGGCAAAAGTTTAATTCATCAGCTGGCTCCGATGGTCGCTAAGAAGATGAAAACCCTGTTGCCATTGTGGTTTCTCCTTTGGTCGTACTCATGGAAGACCAAGTAAAAGAAGCAGCCGAAATGGGCATCACGGCGATGCAACTCATGTCAAAGCCATCGCTACATCAGACAATGGCGCACTACTCGCACACCATACCCATACTGGTAATCACTGTACCCCTTATAAGTGGTGTATTTTTTAAATAAATGATTAGATGATGCTACTCATCATTTTGTATTTAAGCGCTCCAACTGTGTTGTAAAGTTGAGAAAGGTCCGACAAAAGCAAGCAGATTTGTTGGCTTTTTTGTCGAGATCTAATCCTAAACTTGTTCGTATACATTCACATTTTTTATTTCGTTCAAAAATGTTTTTTTTTTTTTTCGAGTTTGCAAGTACTCAACTGAACAGTTGAACAGTTCACTGAACAGTTCTTCAGTTCTGTTCACAACTATGAGTCGCTCAATATACGCCACTTACTCCATTGCTCTGATTGGTTGTAGGTCTACCCAATTGAGTGCAGAGGTTGTTTTTTTTTCCTGGTTCGATTAAGACACACCTCATAATCAAAGCCCTATCAGAGAATGTCTAATTGAAGCGAATTGGCACTGGCTGGTTACTTCCAGTTTCTGGACTGGCTGCAGTAACACGTCTATGTCCATGCGGGGGCGCTCGCAGTCGAGTGCAAAATGAATGGGAGTCTATGGGATTCCACCCCCAGAAATCCACTTTTCTCAAGATGTAATTTTTTGTCAAGTAATTTGAAAGTTGCATTCAAAAGGGAGGGCAAAGATAATACACTCAGCAGAAAATTGCATTTTTAAGTTTACTTATCTGTTCTAAAAATCCGTTCAAAAATGTGATGACGTCACACAATAGCAGAATGCTAGCGTGTTCCGGCCAACAACGGCCTAACCTGTAAGTTCATTTGACTTTTGGCCTATAATCTATATTGAACTTGCGGTATCAACAATAAAATCGATGTTGATTCAACGACAAAAAGGAGAAAGAGACACATTTAGCCATTTAACTCCATAGACTCCCATTCATTCTGCACTCGCTCGCAATCACCTCCAGTGGAATTCTAATGGAACTGCAGCCAAGATGATACACAATGGGGCTAATAGGAAGTGCCAAGCCTGCGTTAGACGGGCTCTGGCCCTATGGAGCAGTATCAGACTCATATTCTGAACAAAATATGAGAATGACGAAGTCAGGGTATGTAAATAGATTAATGTTAGAATCTATTGTTCTCTCCATCCAACCATATACAGTATATACTATATACAGTATACTAATAATACATCACCACACTGTCCACTGTTGTCGGATGTATTGAGTTGCATGTTCTTGTTTCACGCCCTGCTCTGATTGGCAGAGAGCTGTTCATATCTGGTCAGGTGACAGGTGGATGTTCAGTACAGTGGTTTGATCAATACTTAATTTACATTACAGATTAGAGAGAATCCGCTATGAGACTGACAGCAAACCATATGTCAGGATGACAGCATGGTGCACTTTTATCCTGCTTGTCTCGTTCTCGCTCTCTCTCATTCTATCATTAAACTTGGCTGTCATTGAGCCAAATGAACTCTTTTGACCCTGATATATGGCACTGTGCATTTTAAATTGTATAATAGCTTTGAAACAGCAACGGTACAAAGTTGTACCTGCATTTAAGAGAGGTGAGATATTGCCATCTAGTGTTGATGCTCTTTATAAATGGCTTCCCACACTGGGGAAAAAAAAACAGCCTCATATCTTGGTTATTAGAAAACAATAGTTTTGACAGTTTGTTGTGTAATATTCAGTTATTTACCAAAAAAACATCCCAAGCAAACGACCCTTGTTCTAGCGGTCAGGGGAAACTGTGTTTTGGTTATAAATTATAGATGAGATGCTTTGCAATTTAAGTATATCTTTTGTTTACCTCTTTGAATGCCTGATGAGGTTTCTGTACCCTTCATTCACAAATTATGCTAATTGTACCTCACATTTTGGCAGGTACAGCCCACTCTTGTTCAAAGTGCCCTTTTGTTGACACCTGCTTTTCCTGTTTTCCAGTGCCTTTCAGGGAAACGCCTTCCTACACAAATCGCCGCCGCATGACTGGAGGCGACTCTCTGACATCATCACGCTCGCTGCCTCGCTCCGCCTCTGACAACAATCTGAACAACGTGACTGATCCCGGCCCCACACACTCCCCCGTGCCGTCTCTGAGAAGCCTGCCCCCTTTGGCACACTCTGGGATAGACGCGGCGGCCGACGGCAGCCTGCAGAGCACAGGCAGCTCACTCTCCTCACACTCCCGCTCGCCCTCCCTCCAGCGCGTCAGTGAGGAGCACGGCACGCACGCTGTACGCCGGCACACGCCCCTCACGCACTCCCACAGCCGCGGACGCCTCAGGTAAGCATCGCACATCCACAGGTCCTGATTTGCACCTACGGATCTCCGCCCAAACTTCTGCAGATTTCTCTTTCATAAAAATCGCCCATGAATTGGGTGTTCGTTTATTAAATATTTTGGTTAATTTTATTTTATATTTACTCCAGTAGTAATTGCATAAATAAAAATGCTGGGTTAAAAACAACCCAATTTGGGTCAATTTGACAAAATGCTTGTTTTACTGCTCGATTAAGTTAAAATTAACTTAAATAAAAGGCAGACCATGGTGGGTGATCAGGTCTTTATTGAAGCTTGTTCCGGCACAGAAACAAAACATTTTAAAAGATAATTGCGACTTTTACTCGCAGAATTTCGGACATTGACGAGTTATACTGTAAATTCAAATTCCTTGATATAAAGTGTGACTTCTTTTCTCAAAATTGTGAGATATAAACTCGCAACTGCATTACTTTATTACACGCAATTATGACTTTATTTTCCGCAATTATGACTTTATTTCTTGCAATTCTGAGTTTTATATCTCTCAATTTTGACTTTATAACATGCAATTGCAAGTTCATATCTAACAATTCTGAGAAAAAAAGTCAAAATTGTGAGATAAAACGACTGAATTGTGAGATAAAAAGTCACAATTAACCTTTTTTTTTTTATCTGTGGTGGAAACAAGCTTCCATACTGTAGGTCTTGCATCAGCAATAACAACCAGCTGCCTCTTATTACACGGCTACTTACAAGGCTACTTGCCACAAGTAAAAAATTGGCACGAATTATTAAGCTTCCTCAAAGTCTTCTCATAAATTTCTGTCTAGTTTGAACTTGCCGTTTGCTGGCAACTGCTTTCATCGTGGCACATAAATTGCGAAATGTATCTCTCTCTAAGATTTCATGGCAAAGCATTATCTGTTGTGAAGGGTTGTTTAATTAATAGTACTGCATGTCTATTAATGGGTATAGCTAACTTCATCTAGTCATTTTCAGATCCTTTCCATCTTAGCGGGTTATATCTATTAAGATTTGATTTCATGAGCTGTAAGATAATCATATTAATCTGCAGTCACATAGAGCCGAAGCGCAACAGAAACAAAGTTCTTCTGCAAAATGCATGCAGGTTTTTTTGTTTTGTTTTGTTTTTTTACCACTAGAGGGCCAAAAGTGGGTATACATTGTACTGTACACATTTAAAATCACTTAAAGGTGCTCTAAGTGATGTCAAAGTTTTTTTAGGACCAAACATTTTTTGTCACATACAGCAAACATCTCCTCACTATCCGCTAGCTGCCTGTCCCCTAAACTCACTGTAAAAAAAAACGCGGTCTATGCAGACAACCCAGGCTCCACAAATGGCAACAAAAACAAACTTCGGCAACCCGCTCCACAAAACATAACAAACTGTTCCAGCCAATAACTGACAAGAATGCCCTGGGGGTGGGGTTTGGGGGCGGGGTCAGTGCAGATGAGGAGGAGGGAGGGTCTATCTAGCCTCCGTTGTGTTTGAAAATACTTCAACCAGAAGTCACGTCACCCAACATCACTTAGAGCACCTTTAACCCAATTTTCAATCCATCAGCTTCCGTATCCAGCAGTCACAACCCAGAATTTGGTTTAAAAAAAAAAAAAAGCATTTTTAGAGTGTAGTATCATCAATTTACTCAAAAAGTCTACAGATTCTGCCTGGGCTTGGGATTATTAATTCCTCCATTAACAGCACTGCCAAATGATCAATGATTTCATTATAACTCTCATATTGGTCACACATCAGCCCCTGTAATAGGGGTCAAATAATAACAAAGTGTCCATTGATAATTCTGTTTCTAATATCTTTACTTACAAAAGTACTGTGACGATCACATGGCTCATTGATGCACTTACAAAACGCTCCATAGTATTTTGGAAAAATGTAAAAAAGCTCCATGGTATTTTATATTTCCAAGTACTATATTACTTCAGATCTGTTATCATCACTATAACACATTTCTGTAAAGGTGGTAAAAAAAAAATGGTAATACAATGATAGTGAAATTCATGTTGAATGGCATTTACATGGTACTGCATGGTATTAGCATGGTACATGGTAAGAATACTGTACATTGGTATGTGGTACTTGAACATGTTTCAGGTTAGTGCATCTTTTTCTTGGGAGTACCATGGTATACTTTAAAGTACATTACCATTAGTAATGTGGTACATAAATAGTACTTCAAGGAATACCATAGTATTACTATTAAATCAGTTGTTTTCTTTGTAGATTTTATGGTGTTTTTTTTTTTTTTTTTTTTTTTTTGAAAGAGGTTATGTATGCAGCCTAGTTTTGAAACTGTTGTTGGTCAATTGCATACCAAGTGTTTCAAGTTTTCATATACACTTTTATTTATGGCCACTGAGACATGTATTGAATGAAGTCACTTAGATTTCTCTGATCGTTCGCCTCCATCTAAAATACTAACACTGTTAGTAATCTATCACATCCACACTTGATCGACATTTGAAGAGTTTGGTTCCAAAACGCGATAAACGCCATTTAAAAAAAAATTGAGTTACTGCAAAAATCTGTATTGTTTCTGGTCGGTCTTGAAAACTCAATGTTTAATTTTACGTAAAATGCGATATCCGCCTTGTTATTATGTAATGTTTTCTCGTGACATCGAAATCAAATCATTTACGTGAGATGAAGATGAGGCACTCGGGAGGAGGTAATACCGGCTGTTGCTTGTTCTCACAAGACAGCATCACTTCTGTCACGCTGACACAGTGACCCCAGGGGATCTTTTGAAAAACTTTCAGTTGTTTTATTCAAAGTCAACGAAAACCGAGCAGGACCAAGCCATTTTACAGCTGATCGCCGTCAAAAAAGGAGGCGACGTCCCAAGGTTGACAACAGCGATATGCAGAAGTAACGTTAGACTGTTTTTATAATAAATCTTTGAAAATCAAAACCTGGATTTAATTTTTTTTATTGTTATTATAACCTACAAATACTCTGTGAAAATTTGAAACAGAAAATAGTGGTTTTCATCAGCCCATTTTCTTCACAGTTTTACTCAAATTCATCAGAATGGATTTATAGCGTTTTGGAACCAAACTCTTCATTTGCTCCTTTTAAATCGTGCTATTCAAATGTTTAATATATATTCAGATTAGACTCTCTTCTCCTGCGGAGCTGCAGGACATTGTTGGTTTTTTGGGACTCCAACAGGCCTTATTGAATTTCCCAGAAATATTACTTTAAATCTCATATTGTGTATTTATTGCAGGGAGATGACTGGCAGGTTTTTAGAAACTGTGAGACATACTGTAGCACTTTGTAATTGTGTCACTTCCAAATGGATGAAGAAAACGTTAAACTTACACAGATTCATTTGAAATTCAAACTACTCCTAGTGTTGCGTCTATGTAAATAAGAAGTACTTTGAATCTTTCCAAGGGTTAGTGGGTAGTGGGTGTTTGGTGGTTGTGTTGTAGCACTAATCAGCACAAATCTGACACTGGAGAGACAGCAAAGGCTGTTTATCAGCTTTTAGAGCAGGTGTAATGTTTCTACTGTCAGAAACGCTCATCTGAAATGTGCTAAATCACAGCTATTATATGCCACACAAAAACAGTGTGATGCGCATGAGAGACCAGACCAGACAATTGATTCCCATTGAATTTGACGTTAGCATTTTGCTAACCTAACATGTTGCTCTTTATATGAAAATGGTACTGAAATAAACCAAACAATATATTGACTTATAAAGCCACTTTAGATTCAAATATTTTGTCTGCAACAATAATCAGAAGTTTTTTAATTATTTGGAAACATTTCTCAGGAAATATATTATTAATAATTTATTATTATTAATGATAATAATAAAATCTGCAAAGCATGCAGTGAATTTAAATTGATGATGCATTGTATAAAAATATAAACACACTACTATTCAAAAGTTTTGGGTTTATTTATTTATTTATTTTTTTTTGAGAACTTTTGTGTTTATGAGCACAAAAATGAAAATTCTGTCATCATTTACTCACCCTCAAGTAATTCCAAACCTGTATGAATTTCTTTCTTCTGCTGAACACAAAAGAAGATATTTTAAAGAATGTTGGTAACCAAACATAGGCTATAAAAATACTATGGAAGTCAATAGGGCCCATCAACTGATTTTTTTTTTTTTTTTTTTTTTTTTTTGGGGATTATTTTAAGAATATAAAAGTTAAAAAAGAATACAATTATGAATGGCTTTCCCTTCACTTTGAGTCCTTACTGAAAAATAAGATGATTTTACTAACCCCAAACTTTTGAACAGTAGAGTTTTATATTTATAGATTCTCTCAACTCTCCATCTGGTACGGATTATAAACCTCAACGCCTTCTGAGATTTGCCTATCCACAAAGGATACCCATTCTCTTTGCATTTTGGCAAAACCCTGAAGCAGCAACATCACATGGCCTTGATGTCTTAAAGGTCCCGTTCTGCGTGATCCCATGTTTCAAACTTTAGTTAGTGTGTAATGTTGTTGTTAGAGTTTAAATAATATCTGTAAAATTCTAAAGCTCATAGTTCAATGCCAAGCGAGATATTTTATTTTACAGAAGTAGCCTACATCGAACGGCCCGTTTGGACTACATCCCTCTATTTCCTTTTTTAATGGCGTCAGTAGAACAGTTTTTTGGCTAACGTCTGCCCACAGGAATGCTCCCTCAACTCCCTCAATATAACTTACTGTGTTTACTCAGCTCTTACGGTGATTTTCTGAAGTAAAATTGACGCTTCATCTTTTGTGTGATGTACAATAAATTTTATCTCATCAGTGTAAAGAATCTCGGCTTAAGTTTATAGCTCAATTTGAATTCAGGGGAAGAATATTCCAAAATCAATGATCTGGATCAGCAACTTATAGAATATTCGTTAAACCGAGTTTCTCACATGAATTAAATCACCCAACGAGGGGTGTGTCACAACACACGTCTGCTTCAGGTATATATGACGAAATTAAACACAACGAATTATGATTAATTT